CACTGGGGACGTCAGGAGTGGTCTGTCAGCAGGGGGTTTGGTGTTTCTATTTGGGGTTTCCCCCACCTTGGGGTTCTGTGAGGCTCTCGCCCTCACAGGCAGGCCAGTCACGGGGATCAGATAGCTCCAGCCTGCACGGACTACCAACTTCACCCTCCCCGGGGGTCCACTGCACAGAGAATTGAGCCACACAGGGTTTTCCCGGCTGTAATGCTGGAGCAGCAGATGGGCAGGTGTGTATTCAGCAGCAGTGCTGGCTTTGGCATGGGGTAGCATCTGACCCCCTTTTGGTTGCTAGACCAGGGTAGGCAATGCAAACCTCCCAGAGGGACAGGTACTCACCACGAGCCGCACTCAGCCCTGGATGGCAGCGGCTGGCTCTCCTGTCTTCCCTCTGCTTGTACGTCTGGCAAAGAAGCCAGAGGAGCCAGCTGGCAGCTGCAAACCCATTCTCCCAGGAACAGCTACAGGGAGTCATCGAGGCTGGGGCAAGGCCCGCCACCATAGTGACCTTATAGGACAGGCAGAACTGTCCCTGTGGGCTTCCAAGACAGTAACTCTTTACGGGAGTAGAAAGCCCTGTCTTTCTCCCATGGAGTCACTGGTGGCTTCAAATTCCAGAACTGGCGGTCAGCAGCCCAACCAATATGTAACCACTTCCCCCCAAAACTCAAAACCCAACTCACTGCTGTGGAGTCGACGCCAATTCATAGCAACCCCATGGGACCGGGTAGCACTGTCCCTGTGAGTTTCTGAAACTCTAACACTTTATGGGACTAGAAAGTTCCATCTCTCTTCCGAGGAGTGGCTGGTGGTTTTGAACCGCCGACCTTGCAGCTGGCAGCCCAACACATAACCACTCTGGGCAATGAAGCCTATTCTAGGGCAACTGGGATTAGGACAAGAAGAAACAAAATCGTCACCTAGTAGCTGTTCCTGTGTAGCAAGGGCGGCATTTGTCTATATGTATATACATACATATGTGTGTGTGTGTGTGTGTGTATAGAGAGAGAGAGCACAAGAGCAAATGGTAACTAGGAGTCCCAATCACTATGAGTCATGTCCACCACGTGTGAAGAGCATTAAAAGCATGGAAGGGGGTAGAAACCCCAGGAACTGCTGCTTGGAGAAGACGCATCCTTGGAGATGCCGGTTCCAGGCCCACGGATACACAGAAACTAGGCTGCGAAGTAAAGTTGATTCCACCCATTAGGTCAAGTTGAAAACGTTTGGAAGCCGTGGAACGGAGCAGAGGAGCAGAAGAGTGTGGCTGCCCATGTCCTCCTGGCTACGCCTGCCTTTCGGATGGGACCTTCCACTGGCTGGACAGACCCACTGGACGTTGTTAACCTAGAGCTGTGCCTCCAGGCGCAGCGCCCCACCTTCACGCGCCTGTCCCGGGCACCCAAGCCTTGGGAAAACCCCATCACAACCTCAACCAGGTGAGACCGAGGCGAATTAATTGTCCACTCCTGAAAAAGCGCCCACCTGAGGCGGCTTCTCCTTGCCCAGCGCCCAGCCCAGCCCTGCAGCCTGGTCCCTCCTTCCCAGCTGGAGGGCGAGTTCGCTGCCGGCAGTACCTTGGCCCCGGGAAAGTTGCGGGGCGGTTAGCAGGCGGGCAGGCACCCTGGCCTGCCGCCCTTCCGGCTCGGCCTCACCTGGGCTTCCTCCCGCTCCGTGGAAGCCCGCCAGCCCCGCCAGAAGGCGAAGAACAAAAGCCGGCCGGGCTCGGGCCACACCGTGGGGGACGCCAGGAGCGAAGTGCGCACACAGCCTAGGGGACTGGGTTCCCCGAAGTCGCGGGAAGGAGCGGGGGAGTGGGGGCGCAGCGACAAAGCGTACCGACCGGGACCCGGGGCGCGCAGATCCAG